CAGTATCTTCATAGAGAGACCAAATATCCTATGGATGTATTCATGGATCTTAGGAGAAAAAGGCTGATACTATTGGAGATAGATAGAGATTCAGAGTAGATGGCTGAGAACCACTTTAGGATCAAAGTCATATTTATGATACTTCTGTCCTTTTAGGTGGGAAATAGCCTTAATTTAAAGATTAAACAAGGAACATTCATAAAGAGGATTGATGTTTATCTTTCCTCAGTTGTATTGATAGAGAACTAGAGACTGCTCATGAATATCTAGGGTGTAAGAATATTGGATTTTCCAGGGTTTCAAGTGTATGAACTAATTAGGAGATTATAAATAGTCAAAACTATTAATTATTAAACTATAAATCATGATACTTTAGTATATTAAGGTACGTGATAGTGAAAATTCCATCAAGAAGAAGTTTGCAAGTTTGTAAAAATTTATGTATTTTTTCTCCTTTCTTCCCCTCCCAGAGCATCTGCTACACCCAAGCCTGAGCCAGTTTCTGTTCAAAAGGTGAGTTTCTAATCTGGCATCACTGAGATACCATTTGATCAGACCATTTCTGAATCACTGTAATTTCCATTTCTGTCTCAGGCCATATTGGCATTTAGTTTATAGTCTCAATACAATTTTCCTCATTTTTTTTTTCCCTGAAAAGTGAAGAGGAAATGAGTACATACAGAATTACCATTTGTAATTACATCTATGTCATAAAACATTTTTTCCAAAGCCACACATTATCTTATGCTCAAATTTCTTACATTTCTCTTCACTTTTAATTTACTGATCTTTAATCATTTACTTTTTGAAGAGAATAAATAAGTAGTTATCAAAAATGAATAACTTCAGTAAGTCTTTAATAACATTTTATTAATAATAAGTATTTAATTACATTTCAGAGTATTCTGGATTAGGTTATTGGCAAGTACCAAAACTTTTCTCTCTTATACATTCTCAAATTGTCTCAAACCATTATCCATATGTATCTGGTTTATGCTTTTTGGGGTTTTCTCCCTAATTTTATTTGTGCCTCTTCATTTGAAGTACTCATCATACAGATTGAGCATCCTTACTTTGAAAATCCAAAATCTAAAGTGCTCTGAAATCAAAAACTTCTTGAGCACTAACGTGATGCTCAAAAGCAATGCTCACTGGAGCTTTTCAGATCTTGGATTTTTGGATTTAGGGACGTTCATGTATTCTTGCAAATATTCCAAAATCTTAAAATGTTCAAAATCTGAAACACTTTTGGTCTTAAGCTATTTGTGTAAGGAATACTCAGCTTGTACTGATTTGCATAAGCATTAAGCTTCTTATTTTTCTTAGTTTTCTTTTTTTATAAGATTAATTTAGATGACCTTTTGTTTCATAAATTAAACACAACAGAGCCACCATTGTATAGATTTTTAACAATTTGATTGTTTTTCTTTTAGTAAGATAGGGTGCTAAGTAGAGATTCTTGAATGTCATAAAAGCTCAATCTGATCTTTTTAAAAGACTTTAAATATGCTTTAGAGTTAGGATTTACAAACAGAAATTTTGGTAATTTGGGGGAGGAATTGACCTTTCTTACTAGTTATTTTTTCTTTGGCTACTTGCAATGAGAAAATATCAAAGACCATTTTTTCCCCTCATGTAACTGTTAAATATTTATTTTGGAAAAGGAAAAGAATTGTGTTCTATCTTTGAATCACATCTTAAAACATTCAGAGAGAAAAACAGAGGTGGATTACAGGAAAGAGAAAGGGTAGATTTTGTTTCGTTTATTTGTTTGCATTGTTAATTCTTCCAGATTCTTTATTCAAGATAATTACAATGCGCACATTTCTGAGTTAGATGAAAATTATTTTATCCCCCCCCCCCAATTAAAGAGTTAGAAGTGTGCTGCTGTTTCTGCATGAGCTGAATAATTCCACTTTGGAGAGAAACGAACCTGTTTGTAAGATGGAATTGTAATTGAGGCTCTAGATATTTTAAAATAAATGTTTCTCTTAGAAAATTTTTTTTATTATGGAATATTTTAAAATTTTTCTTTCGAAATATGTCTAAATTGACATAATAGCCTTTAGGCTTTCAAATAGTTTTCCTACTCAATTTCCTAAGCATTTCAAAACTCCTTTCATTTTTATAAAAAAAATTCATCCTCAGTGTGTGCATCTGGGTTATGCATGTTGGGGTTAGTTAGCATGCATGTTATGCTGTATCAACTCATTGTTTTTTTTTCTGGAAATGTGATGTTTTGAGTTGCTAACACAATTGTGTTTGTCTTTTTACAAATCAGCTGTGTGTTCTTTTCAGTGAAATATATTTTGCATGTGTTTGGCGTGTTTTTGTGTATGTTTATTTTTATTTTACATAGGGAGAACCTAAAGAAGTAGTTAAACCTGTGCCCATTACATCTCCTGCTGTGTCCAAAGTCACTTCCACAACCAACATGGCCTACAATAAGGCACCACGGCCTTTTGGTTCTGTGTCTTCACCAAAAGTCACATCCATCCCGTCACCATCGTCCGCCTTCACCCCAGCCCATGCGACCACTTCATCACATGCTTCCCTTTCACCTGTGGCTGCCGTCACTCCTCCCCCATTCGCTGCATCCGGACTGCATGCTAATGCCAACCCTAGTGCTGACCAGTGTTCACCTGCACTGAGCGCTGGTAAAACTGCAGTTAATGTCCCACGGCAGCCCACAGTCACCAACGTGTGTTCCGAGACTGCTCAGGAGCTAGCGGAGGGACAGAGAAGAGGATCCCAGGGTGACAGTAAACAGCAAAATGGGTAGGTGGCTAAGGGTGCTCTCTGCTCTTATCAAAACTCTTTTTTCAGGTAACTTCCAGGAGACACTTAATCTACACCCACTACTCGCTCACCCCCATCAGATGTTTTTGAAGGAAGGGAGATGAAATTTTATTTGCTTAATTAACATGTGGCCTGTGTCGTATATATGTATGGCACTTTCTGTGAAGGAATTATAGGTTAATCAAAACCTAATTATGTATTTGGATATGTTATGAACCACATAGGCACAATCTGTAACTCTTTTTCTCTTTAAGTCCTGGCACAACGCTGAGCAGCTGGCACGTATAATGCAAGGCCAATCTTGAATCTTTCTTCCTCAATGTTTCCATGTTTTCATCCTTTTATTGGCCACCAACAGTTTAAACAGAGCGATTATAGTTGTTGTCACCTTACGCTTCTCACAAGGAAATGAGTTTATAAGAGGCTTTCTTTCCTAGGAAGTACTCTTGAGAAAGGAGAAAACTGTTTTTGACTCATGTCTACATATGAAGCATCAGCTTAGAGCAGACTGCTAACAACATTCTTTTCAGATAACCTTAGGTTAGCATTTACTCTTTAAAAGCAAACAGTAATGAAACAATAATGGATGCTTTAGAAAGCATCAGAAGTAATATAGAGAGTATTTTCATTTCAAAGATTTTTCTAAAATGAGTGCATTTAAGCCAGTGGACATTAAATATATAATGTTAACAGAAGTTGTTGAAGCTGTATTCCTAATAGATTTCTCTTTTGAGGGCACGTTAAAAAAATTGATTGTATTTATTATCTTATTTGAACCACATATGTTTATATGACTGTACACCTATTTTTCAGCAACCTTCATTTATAAAATTCATTCATTTTATCCCTTTTGGAATTCAGTGATAATACTTTAAGTCAAATCATTGACGTAAAGGCATTTTAATCAAATTTATTTTGACAAAAGTGCACTTTAAAAGGAAACCAAAGAGAAATGGTGTGCATGCTTGATGGTTTTTACCAGGGCCAGTTCCCAGAAAAATATAATTAAAATAATCATGTGGAAGGGTGCTTTCTATGAGATAATCCCTTCCGAATATTCATTCACATAGTGAAGAGACTGTGCTTTCCTTAGTGCTGCTGCCATGGCAACTTTGGGGCTTTGAAGGAAAAGGTGGCAGGGTTCCAGGCTGCTGCTGAGAGAAAGGGAGCCAGAGCGGTGCAGGAACTGCTACTGGGCCCTCCAGATGGTCTTGTGGTTATGGGAGGCCATTTAAAGTTTATATCGCAGAAAAGTAGTGTCCTTCAGAGAATGTTATTTTTCCCTTCATGTGAGGAAGAGAAACAGCAGGGAGTGTTAAGGTGTGTTTGGTTGTATTTTTTTTTTTATATGTCTACTTTAAGGCAGCAGATTTTAGAGTAATCAAAGTACCCCGAAAAGAAAGATGCTGTCTATCCAGTGTTAGCCACATGTACACTAAGACAGAGGTTTACTCTGTTTATTAAATTCTGGAATTAGTAGAAAAAGTTAGTGAAGGAAGTGTCTTAACTAAAATCTTTTTTCCTAATGTGTCTTGAAAGTTTACAAAAAAGTCTTCTTAGTGGAAAATTGTAGAGGCAAAGCAATTCAGGTTATGGAAAAGTACTGAATTTAAAACATCTAAAACCACCAAGCTTAAATTTTGCATTTTATAAGCTCAACATTGATAAAACTTGAAATGATTTGAAGGTTGTTATTTTCAAACTAAAACTAGGCAGTCATATAGCTTAGGCCCCTTATGGTGGCTTCTTAATGAATTGACAAGTGTTTATTAAACACATACCTGCTGTTCAGGAGAAAAGGGATTATTACTGCATGATTAACAAGTGGGTTACCACTTTGCAGTTGCAAACTGGTTAAAGTGAAAAATAACCTGATTTTTACAGTGTTATCCAGTTGTTAGGACAAGTAAAACCTCATTACTTTGAAAATAAAGTATGGTATCAGAAATTCTAAGCAAATATGCAGTGCCTTTTTCTCACTACATTTAGAGTAAACAAAAATAAATCACACCTTGCTAGTCATTAGTGTGTCCTTTTGAAGAATAGCTGTTTTGCCATAGAGATGAATGCATTTTCTGCATCAAATGTCAAAACTGCTGCTTTGAAATCTAAGTCGAACTTCTTAGTTTTTTATTTCTTAGAGTTTTATAACATTGTTACAAAGCATTTGTGTTTTAAAGTTGTCCAGTGACCAAACTTTTAAGAATTCAGTGAGATATGTATGTAAAGATAAATGCTTGTCTTTTTCCTCAAAGCACCAGGAAGACTGTTAGTTTTTAAGCGATTTAAAATGGCTAGCTAATCTGCCAAGTTGATAGACATCTGGGCCAAATTTGTGTAGGGTTAATAAACACAAGATATAAATAGATCCTTATTAAATAACTAATCATTTTTTAAAGGGTTATTCATCCTCATAGAATGAAATATTGTAGACTGTGTTCATAGTTTTAAAGTATTTCTCAGTAATACTATGTAAGTATCCCTCTTCCTTTTTATAAATGATTAAGACACTGTAAGACATTTTGCAAGGCTGTGTCTCATCAAAAAAAAAAAAAAGAAAGAAATTTTAAATCTTTCTTTTTTATATTCAAATTATTGGTCATGGTTGGCTGTTTTCATTACTGCTGTGCTTGCTTTACTAAGCGGAAAATGGGACTTTATACTCCAGACTATAAGGAAAGCTGTTTTCATCAAGTAGTGTAATTGGTTTTCCTTTTCCCTTTCTGTATATCCTTGCATTGTAACGTGCCACTGCTTTCAGGAGGTAAGTCTTTTAGTATCCTATACTAATTTCAATTTTACTGGACTGCAATTTCTTCTAACAGTTCCTGTGTGGCATTTTAAAGAACTTGGCCTTGAAAGATAAAAAAATAATGACATGGCAGTAATATTTTAAAATGCTTTTCTCTTTGCAGAAAACAAAAGTGACAAAGTTAGTATCCACATTACTGGAGAGGAAATATGGTGATTTATATATGAGTAATCAGCATGAATGCCTGATTTTTTTTTGCAAAATTAAATTACATTTTGCAAAAGAGCTATAATTTAGAATAGCCACATTTAATTATTTTTAATAAGTTTGGTTTGCATCGCTATGTTGTGGTGAATTGCTTTATAATAGTAAATAGTAGTCTTTAACTTATGTTATAAAATAAAATATATGTGGGCTTTGCTGTGTAATGGTTTGAAGGGAGCTGTGCTTGGGGCTGTAATTTGTATCAGTTGAGACTATAAGAAGACAGAGAGAAAGAAGAGAAAAGATAAACATTCATACCAAAAGGAATAAATAGTACATGAAGAACTGAGTTAATGTCCAAGTTAATATCAAAAGTCAGTTTTTCCTGGGTAAAGTCTCTAAGAACCTTCATGGTTTCTCTAGAGAGTTTTAATTCAAATAACATTGCTGTCCGGTTCAAACCTTTGTACATATAGTTGTGTGTTAGGTGGATAATGGGAAGTCTGTACACCTTTGAAATTAGTTAAGGGAAATAATTATCAACTTACTTAATGTTGCAGTTGGTGTAGACATTGAGAATTACTGTAGTATAATTTTCAGACCTTGTTTTTGTGTTCTACTAATACTGACACTAAACTGCCTAGTGTCAGTTTTAATACTTTAAAAATAGGTAAAAATCACATAAGATAAGAACTTAAGTTATTTTATATTAAGTTATGATTATGAACATGTACTAAAGTGTCTTCTGTATCTCACTATAGAGTAGAATTAGAAACACTGAGTATCTCTATCTTGGGACGTACCTGAGAGAGTTAACTATTGAATTTTACAGGTCGGTGTCTTTCCAATTCCATTCCACTGTGGTCTTAGTGGTTGAATAATTTTGTTATATATACATAGGAATATTGCATACAATGTATTAGTATAACATCCCTAAACCTTAATATTGTTTATCTATTTGTAGTTAAATTTTTACATTCAGAGACTTTGACTAATAACGAGCTTCTAGTACAGAAAACAGTTTGACTTATCAAGGGGAAAAATGGAATTTGGAAAAATAAATCTAAGCATTTAATTAAATATTGACTTTTTAAAAAAATTCAAGATCAAGGCTCAGAGCCTGTAGCTCAGTGAGTAGGATGCTGGCCACATACACTGAAGCTGGTGAGTTTGAGCCTGGCCTGCTAAACAACAATGACAACTGCAACAATAACAAAAAAGCCGAGTGTTGTGGTGGGCGCCTGTAGTTCCAACTACTTGGGAGGCTGAAGCAAGAGAATCGCTTAAACCCAAGAGTTCGAGGTTGCTGTGAGCTGTGACACTGTGGCACACTATACTGAGGGCAACATAGACTCTGTCACACACACACAAAAAAATCTTTAATCTATTAGATTTTACTATGCATTGTAGCAGATGTTTCTAGCTGCATTATGTAATTTAATTCTTAAATTTTGACTGCTGAAAGATTGTACAGTATTCTCAAGTTGTGCATTTTGTAAGTGACAAAGCTAAGAACTGAGGCTAGGTCTTTGAAGCCACATTTTGATATGCCTTCTGCTGCATCATCTGCTCATGTGACTTGGATTTATTTCTGTGATTGAATTAGTGTTTTTTCCTAATAATTATAAAGTTGAATTGAAGCCATAGGAGTGAACCAATGTGCGTATGCTAGAGTTGGGTTTGATACTACTATTTTTGAGTAGTTGGGACATCCATCTCAACCATAATAAATCTGTGTTTGTAAACTTTTCAAAATGCCTTCATATATGTTAATCATAATTCCTTATAAGAAATTTGAATGACACAGACATTTTAATTCATTTAATTATTGTGGAAAACAAGGCTTCCGTAGATTATAGGTTGTCCCTGGCACAGAGGAAGTGGGCAGCTCAGCAACGATGAGAAGCCAAGTCATCCGAAATGTAGAAATAATTGTTTGATACAATCCAGTTGACACATTTAGGTTGAAATCTATCAACTCTCCACTTACTGCCCACCACCAAACCTTAAAACACTCCCCCACTTCATGTGGACATAAAACATTTTTCTTAAACATTAAAATGTTTAAATGTGCATTCAAAATGTACCCTGTTCAGAAATTTATTTTGCAAAACTTTTCCCTGCTGCTTAATATAGCAAGGTAGAGGAGAGACTGCTTTGCACTGTGGCTACAGATGAGTGAATACAGGCAAACTATTGAAATCAACTTATTCCTACCTCCCACCCTCACTCAGTGAAACCCAGTCCTCTGTTGAGTTTGTGAAACTGACCTTGACTCTTAGCATTAAAATTGTTGGGCAGTTTTTTTCACATTGTTACAATGAATTATTACTTACTCTGGCTAAACACCATCGCATAATTCAAGAACACTATAATGTGTTCTTTGACAAACTATACAGTTTATGCTTTAATCTTCTCTATCCACAATGGAATATGAATGCCTTTTTAATGATTCCAAACTTAATAGATTATGTGAATGAACTATTTTGAGATTCTTTCTTTTTAGGTATTTTAACCTAGTTCCTTTACTGTATCATATCAGACATGCCTTTTGGGCAAAAATTCTGATTATTGCACCGATAATACAGAACTATGGAATTACCAAAAATCACTTTTAAAGTTACTGGGACTTGCCTGTGGATGTGAGTGATGGTTAATGAGGGACAGAGGAGAGAATGAAAATTGAGTGATAGCCCATTATTTACGATCTACTGTGCTTCCTGCATTTTTATCATAATCACTGCATTTTAAGAAATAATAAAAATTTCTCCCAAAATGTATCATTCTTTTATAATATATGATTCAGGATAAGCTATGTGAGGAAATTATATCTGCTATTGATATATACTCTTGTCATGTGACAGTGAAAGATTATCTCTTATTCTCACTTTAAAAGTGATTGTAAAGTGATGTTTCTACATGTTATCTCTAATTACACTCTTCCTTTTGTTAGGACCATAATAAGAATTAGATTCTTGTTAAAATGAATTTTATAAAACCTGGACATTTTTTAATGGATGGATAATAATAGTGGATCTTTCTCTTTTAGTATTCAGTAACTTGAGACTTGAACTAGCATTAGTACATAAAATAGTTTTCAGCCTTTTGGGGGAAAAACAGATACAACTCCTATCTTTGATAGTAACAGTGCAGCAGAATTTCCACTAACACGTACTTGTTTTGTCTATGTTTATATGTTTATTTGAAAGCATGTTGTTTGTGTAACATCTTCACTTGAATTCATTGTTTTGAACTTTGTTATTTCATTTTTATTTCTCCTTTTTTCTTTTGATCTCACCTTTGTCTGTGTTTCATCATCCTGGGAACATCAATGTCTTCTATTCTGTCACATCTTTCTGTGTGTATATTATTCCTCCTCAGTAACCCTGGCACTGTGTAAGTACTTAATCAGTGGTTCATTTTGTAATTTTCATCATCTCTCTGTAACTTGCAATGGTGCTTTGTGCTTAACACCCCCAGCAAATTTGGGTAGTATCTGCTTGTTAAAAGAATTCTCAAAAATATTAAGTAGGATAAGAAACATACTTCTTTTTATGCTATAGGACTTCATATAAATCAGTGGGTGTGTGCAGAGTGCCCATCCTTCTG